ATCTTCCCTTGTTTGCCTGATTGTTAGTTGTAATCTTCCCTTGTTTGCCTGATTGTTAGTTGTAATCTTCCCTTGTTTGCCTGATTGTTAGTTGTAATCTTTCATTGTTTGACTGATTGTTAGTTGTAATCTACCATTGTTTGTCTGATTGTTAGTTGTAATCTTCCCTTGTTTGCCTGATTGTTAATTGTAATCTTTCCTTGTTTGCCTGATTATTAGTTGTAATCTTCCCTTGTTTGCCTGATTGTTAGTTGTAATCTTCTCTTGTTTGCCTGATTGTTAGTTGTAATCTTCCCTTGTTTGCCTGATTGTTAGTTGTAATCTTCTATTCTTTGTCTGATTGTTAGTTGCAATCTTCCATTGTTTGTCTGATTGTTAGTTGTAATCTTCCCTTGCCAAACTCTACAAGAACGTCACTGGAGGCAAACGTGAAGTCGAGGTCTGTCTGTCTATTTATATATCTCTGTCTGTGTGTCTGCTTATCTGCCTGTCTGAGTGCCTGTCGGTATGTCTGAGTGTCTGTCTATCTGCTGCTTTGTACACCTGTCCCAGCCTTAACGCTGTTTATAGTTGTTTTTTCCTCTCTGTCCCTAAACTTTCCTATTCATCATTATTTTTATAAAGTATAAAGTTTTTTAATGGGAGATAGGTATCTCAGTTACCTCAGCTTATTTTAGGCAATAGTTCTTTTAATTCCCAAGTCTTCTGTATTTAATCTTCGCCCCCTCTCCCCAACCCGCCCTCGACCCCGCCCACACAAAAATACCACCCTCCCACATTTTTGGGGACAATGTGAACAAAGACATTATCTACTATGAATCCCAAAGTGACCTCTTCTCGCCCCCTCCCCCTGGATGTTTTCGTCAGAAACAATTCTAGAATGATAGGAGCGCATAAAAATACTCCGGGACGTAACATCTGTTTCTAAAACTGTCTCCGCGGCAGAGTGTGTTCAATCACAAGAAGTGATGGATCAGGTTTAGGGCTCAGAGTGGTCAAGCGCTGTCTTTGGGGTCATCCCAGAAAACAGTTTCCCTCTAGGAGCCTGGTCAGCGATGATAGGATCGAAGCTGCTCTCCAAGTCAGAAGGCATCTCTGCCTTAGCGGTGAGAAACCAGCAGTCTGCACACAAATAAATGCAGTCTGTGAAATAAATGTCCAGCTATAACTCAAGTCCTGGAAAAAAAACTAATAGTCCAAAAGTGGACGAACAGCCAAGACTTTGCAGCCGGCGAACTCGAAGAGGAAAAAAAAAAGCAAGGCAAAATGCTTACCCCCCCCCCCCCCCTCCTTTCCGCCCCATCCGCCCCCCCCCCCCCCCCCCACCACATCGCACAGTATGCGGTTAGAAAGAAACGGTTTTATGGCCTTCAGTCAGTGGTACCACAGTCTACCAGAGTTGTAGGCCTCATCAAGAATGATAAAGCATCCTCTTCCACACCCGCAGGGGTATTGGGCACATAGGGCTAGACCTATAATTTATAGACCAACCAGCGCTCGGTGGCTGATGTGGTCAACATTACGCCATCCGATTTTTTCCCCCTAGGCCTTTATCTCGCACCCATTTGAGGCTGGGTCAGCCTGGGAGGCTTGGTCAACCTGTGAGGCTAGGTCAACCTGGGAGGTTGGGTCAACCTGGGAGTCTGGGTCAACCTGGGAAGCTGGGTCAACCTGGGAGGCTGGGTCAACCTGGGATGCTAGGTCAACCTGGGACTCTAGGTCAACCTGGGAGGCTGGGTCAACCTGGGAGGCTAGATCAACCTGGGAGGCTAGGTCAATCTGGGAGGCTGGGTCAACCTGGGAGGCTGGGTTAACCTAGGATGCTAGGTCAACCTGGGAGGCTAGGTCAAATTGGGAGGCTAAATCAACCTGTGAGGCTAGGTCAACCTGGGAGGCTGGGTCAACCTGGGACTCTAGGTCAACCTGGGAGGCTGGGTCAACCTGGGAGGCTGGGTCAACCTGTGAGGCTGGCCATTTCTGAAGAAATAAAACGAAGAAGTCCGGCCTCGTCAAATAGAATCTCTAAAATACAGCAGTGGTTGAGACAATCTATAGTATCTCCCAAATGCAGCAGTGGTTGAGACAATCTATAGTATCTCCCAAATACGGCAGTAGTTGAGACAATCTATAGTATTTCCCAAATACAGCAGTGGTTGAGACAATCTATAGTATCTCCCAAATACAGCAGTGGTTGAGACAATCTATAGTATCTCCCAAATACGGCAGTAGTTGAGACAATCTATAGTATCTCCCAAATACAGCAGTGGTTGAGACAATCTATAGTATCTTCCAAATACAGCAGTGGTTGAGACAATCTATAGTATCTCCCAAATACAGCAGTGGTTGAGACAATCTATAGTATCTCCCAAATACAGCAGTGGTTAAGACAATTTGAAGTATCTCTTAAATACAGCCTTGGTTGAGACAATCTATAGTATCTCCCAAATACAGGATTTGTTGTACCTCTCAAATACAGCCGTGGTTGAGACAATCTATAGTATCTCCCAAATACAGCAGTGGTTGAGACAATCTATAGTATCTTCCAAATACAGCAGTGGTTGAGACAATCTATAGTATCTCCCAAATACAGCAGTGGTTGAGACAATCTATAGTATCTCCCAAATACAGCAGTGGTTAAGACAATTTGAAGTATCTCTTAAATACAGCCTTGGTTGAGACAATCTATAGTATCTCCCAAATACAGGATTTGTTGTACCTCTCAAATACAGCCGTGGTTGAGACAATCTATAGTATCTCCCAAATACAGCAGTGGTTGAGACAATCTATAGTATCTTTCAAATAGAGCAGTGGTTAAAACAATCTATAGTATCTTCCAAATACAGCAGTGGTTAAGACAACCTAAAGTATCTCCCAAATAGAGCAGTGGTTGAGAAAATCTATAGTATCTCCCAAATACAGCAGTGGTTGAGTCCATCTATAGTATCTCCCAAATACAGCAGTGGTTGAGACAATCTATAGTATCTCCCAAATACAGCAGTGGTTGACACAATCAGCTAGAGCTAACATCCCACATGCAGACGATACAGACGCTGATAAAACATATTTTCTAAGCAAAAAAAAAAAAAAATGATGATGATGACGACGATGGTGAAAACAATACCGTTCTGAATGGTAATAAATAGAATCAAACATTTAAAGTCGTATGAAATGTATCAACAGATGCGTTTAAAGAGAAGTGCTACATGGGGTTAAAGGTTACTGTTTGCCCTCCTTACATTATTAAAAACAGCAGGGGCGGGTAGGCCCGTATGTTCGTACTTGGTCGAAAAAAATGGTTGATAGGGAAGGGAGGTGGTGTGTGTGTGTGTGTGTGTGTGTGTGTGTGTGTGTGTGTGTGTTTGTTTATGAAAAAAAAAGGGGGGGGGGATGGGTAAATTGTCTTAGGATAAAAAATTTAGTTACCCCTGGAGGACAAAAACACACACACACACACACACACACACACACACACACACACACACACAATTTTGCGACAGTGACTTACATCGTTGCTAGTTTGTCATCTCTACCTCAGGACGGATGGTTAGATATTGCAAGTGATGTAGTCAAAATCGGCGAAGATGTCGTCCATCTTGTTAAGGATATCAATGGAGGCAAACGTGACGTCACGGTAAATTTGTTTATTATCAAGTTGTTTTCTTATTTAAAAAAAAAAAACATTTTCATGTGCCAAGTTCTGTGTTTTAAAAACCTTATGGCGTTTAAATTTTGATGTATGACAGAGAAAATGTGAGAATTTCCAAATCACGGAACGAAAGACTGGTAAAAAAATAGACTGATTTAGCACTTTGGTTCATAAGCCTAAATTTTCTTTGCCTTTTTTTTTTCTTGGTGCAAAAGACTATTTGCCATGTGAGGTACTTAGGTGCAAAGAATAAATGATCGTGTTTCATAGTATAAGCCTATGAACACATCGGTAATGCTGGAAAACTGAAGTGTATCGGGACAACTGGAAAGTTTAGAGGGTCAGAGAGACAAAAGAAGACCATAAGAGAAGAAGATAGACAGACTGGCATCATAGCAGGAATAGATCAATCAGTTTGTCCTCTCCGTGATGCTACCTAAAGGTTTACCACATCGTGAGATTTAAAAAAAAATCGCAGTGTGAATAGTTAACACACAAGACAGATCCCTGATACCCCGTTCAGTCTCCAAAGAAGTTATATTTAGGGCATGTAACGGCTGTTTCTGCCGATTACATACAGCATCGCCAAGAAAAAATACTTTATTTCACAGCGTATTTTTACTTTCTACTTTTTATTACAAATAAATCTACTCGGTCTAAATCACAGGGAAAAGAATACTTGCTGCATGCTTACCTACTCGTGCACAAACTGTAGCGTGTGAAAGCAACCTGTTACTAGTCTACACAACTGGCTGCCCACGCATACTCTCAACAGCCAAGCATCGAGGAGGAACATATCACGTGATGCTCTCTCCAGCGTAATCGTTACATGCAAGTTCTTAAACATGCGAACTGATCACGACTCGTCACTGGTAATTACCGTATCGAAGAACAGCGTAGATATCATAAATGAGTGTTGGGACAGTCTAAAGATGACTGTGCGTAGATGTGGTTGCCAGCCCTAACATGGGGCGACCCGTTTGCTATGAAGCTGAAACTAAGATTACCAGATGTATTAACTACAAGACGCAGAATCTTCTGACTTAAATGTCTCTATGACTTTTAGTTATTTCTGTTATAGTCGCCTAGCGAGAACGGTGATGGAGGGCACCGTTTTCGGAAAACGAAACAGAAGCAGACCTCGGTGAACGTGGATACGAGATACTGAAGGTCCACTGGCTGTGAAAGCACATAGGGCTGGAGAATTAACGAGAGACATAGAGACTTTACTCTGTGCCGTGACAAGAGCCACCTTCTATGAAGGACCTACTGATTGATGATGATGATGTAATTTCTTTTCCTTGTTGTTTGTTTCGTTAAAAATTGTGACCTTACAATTTTATTGTTTTAATAGGATGATCTAACAGTTTTTGTGGGAGACTTAGAGGCTAAAGCCCTCCAGATTGTTGCAGAAATTGTGAAGGCTGTGGGAGGTGTAGCTATCGACAAGAAACGAGAAACCCAGGTATGTAAACATTCTTTTTTATGTCTTGCTCTTTATCATTTGTAGTGGTGCCTATAAATCAATATCATCGGTTGTGTACTAAAAGTTTTTGTAATACGACCCCCCCCCCCCCCCCACCCCCTTTTAAAAAAATATATTTTCCATATTCCCCTTTTAAAAAAAAAAATATATTTCCTTAAAGCAGACGATAATAATCCCAGCCCTTGAGATTGAACCCGGAACCTCTAGCACTGAAGACGGACACCATGCCTTGAGACTAGGCAGCCATGCTGTTGAATATCGCAGAACATGGAGAAGTATGATCGCCCAGGCCAGTCGACAAGGCACTTGCCAATGACAATACATTATCGTTATTATATCCTTTCACATTCCGTGTGCCCATCATCCATACGCCGAAAGACACACAATCACAGAATAATCGTTACAAACTTGATGTGGTCAACATAATTCTGATCGCCTTTACTATCTTCATAATTTCATTTTTCACGTTTTAGAATGTATTTAAACTTGACACCTCGAAGCAGATTCGAACCTGAGACTATTGGATCCACAGGCAAGCAACTAGCATGCTGCTGCTCTTCCACTCAAAGGCTGCTTACCGAAAGTGGCCGTCTGAAGTTCACTTCGGATCTCTGTATAGAAAGATTATGAAGCAGTGTTCACAAACCTTTAGCAACATTCGCAAGGCGATGAACTGGGCAATCATTTTATGTGGAAGTATCCGCATCCTTGCACAGGGTTTCACCCCACGTGGCTCAGTCTCTCTACAGAACGGCTGATCGCATGTCGAAAATGTGGTCCATATCATGAACTATGCATTCCATGCAGGATGTTTAACAAAGTTGTATAACAAATTGCACTCGAAACCTGATTATATGTCCGTCTTGCCATTCCTCTGAGCGTCAAGTATCGGTCATATCTCCCCACCCCCCCCCTCACCCACATCAGTCCTCGCTGCTTCATTTTCACAGGACTGGGGTGATCAGTGTCGGCTCTGTGGTTATGTCCATGCGAGCGCTTCATAATGCCGGGTTATATCCCAGCTGCGGGTCATCGGCCTTGCGTTGGTTTCGACAGTGGTATCAAGAAAACCGACCGTCCAGAAAGCAGTGGCAAACTACTGGACGTAAACTTGCCCAGAAAAACCACACAACAGCCAGGGGCTGTTGGGGTTGGTTCTGCAAAGTCCTGTAAAGGATACGCAACTAACCTAGGGGTGATCAGTTTGCGATTCCAAGTTTTCCCACAAGGCCTTAACTATGTCTGCCTATCATGCATCAGTATTCCACAAAGTTGTGCCGAGTCAGCCAAACAGTCCGCCTGTTCATTTCCCAACTGATTTAAAGTTGACATTGCTACTGACATCCAACAAACTGAAAAATGTTGAATGTTGTTTATTAGGACGATTGGGTATCTATCGTCGCTGATGGCACTGTGGCTATCCAGGATGCAGTCAAAATGTTTGATGACGTGAAAAGCCTGATTTCTGTTGTTGGTGGGGTAAGTTACATAAGTATTGTTTACACAATCGACGGGAGCTGTAGTGGTGTAGAGGTTAGACGCTTGCCTACAGAGGAGAATGGTGTGGGTCGACCCAGCCTTAAAGAGATGGCAGGTAAAGTCCTAGGATGTGAATGCGGTAGGTATGATGTTAAAAACATCACCCAATGAGTGCCAGTTGGTCTATATAATATAGATCTAGCCCTATATGCCCAAAATGTATAAAAGCTTTGTGTGTGGGATGAGTTTGGCTACCCTTAGATGTTTACCGTGTAGCAGACTGCTGCCATATTAAACATCTTTAAACTTTAAAGTAAGTTTGTGCACTTTAAACCTTCTTCTCTCTCTTTTGATTTGTGAGAGAGAAGTGGGATGAAAGAGTAACTAATTCTGAATTGTGAGAGAGAAGTGGGATAAAAGAATCACTAATTCTGAATTGTGAGAGAGAAGTATACTAATAATATGTAAAGTATATTCAAGGAAATATACATGAAAGAAAGTGTATCCATCTTTTTTTAATATCTCTGTAAATAAAAAAAAAAAGGCCCATGTCCCGACTCGAGGAGCCACAGGCATCTGGTGCTTCCCTCTTGTTTGTTGTAGAACTTCGGCATTCTATATGTGCTGTGGCCTTGACGTTTAAGGATTTTTCGTGTATTCATTTTTGGGCGATGCAACAGGACCTTTCCTGTCGCTCCCCCCTCTGGTGTATTGGGTATATAAGAAAAGGATGGACAGAAAGACGACTGCAGGAGATCCCCTCCCTGGCACAACGCTCATTCCCTGTCCTCACTGTCCAAGAACTTTTCGGGCCCGCACCGGCCTCATCAGTCATCTGCGTACTCATACTTGATGAAAAAGAGTGGTCATCATTATCCTGATGGACACACACACACTGGGTATAAAGTGCAAAACTTATATTTTATAGAATAATGGGGCCCGGCTCTATAGCGAAGTTGGTTAAACCTGACTTTCGCGGCGGCCGGGTGACGAACTCACTCCTTGTGGTCCGGGTTCACTCCCGGGGGTAGGCAGAAAAGCCACATTTCTTCTAGATTAATGGTGGCTATAATGGAATCAAGGCCGAAGGGTTGCGATATCCATAGTACCGAGCCAAAGGGTTTACAACTCATGGTTTCTGGATACGTAAAAAAAAAAAAAAAAAAAAATTGAATAATGGGCCCTCGGATGGTGATGTGATCACCGGACGCCGGACATCTTTACTTCCCAGGACTTTGAGACCTGTTTTAGGCTGCAATGACCTTGGCGCCGAGATGGTTTCTGAAGTGGGAAAACTCTAACTCAATGCAGATTTATGCTCCCTGAATTGCCAAGAATCATTTGTTGAACTTTTGATGCTGCAGCGCCTGTGGGTCAGTCCTTGCATTGATGGCCTAATACTAATATGATGAGAGCCCTCTATAAGCCTGAACGTTGCTAGGACACTTTGACCCGCTATTCTCCTCGCTCATTAATATTATTTTAAATAACCGAAACAAGGGAAAATAATTAAGGATGTGTCCCTCGAAGACAGGATGTATCTGTCTACATTGCGGAAAACTAACAGTCTGTATTTAAAAATGCCAGATCTGTAAAATGAATATGACCAAAATCAAAAGTTGACTAAGAAACACAAATTTCCACCGGAGTTTACAATTGGTGAATACGAAAAAGAAAAAAATAAGTGTTTCATAACATTCAGCAAGACAGGTTTTATTCATTTCTTACTTGATTCTTTTATTCACAGAAATAAAGACATTCAGTTCAAACAACATGCAGATGAATCCCTGTGATCTAGACGCACAGCTTCACACTTGTCATTTATTCCAATAAATGTTTGTGTACGATCTAGATGAGCTTTTGTGTTATTGTTTAAAAATAAAAGCTAATTTTTTTAAGTAATGAATTAAGTGTTTAGGCCACTTTTAAAATACAAACATGCGAATTTCAAAGATAGAGCCACTATTCAACTAATTTTTTATTATTGCTGTAAATATCAAACAGCCCTTACCCTTTCCATCAGCCGCCTTCCCCTTTCTCTCCGCCGACCACCTCCCCCACCCCCTCCCCCAGCACGCCTCCTTACCCTCATCCTCCGGCACCGTTTCCCTCACCCTTTTACTCGTTCCCTTGGTCCGCACCCTTTCCCTCATCCACCTTCCGACACCCTGCGTCTTGCACCATTACCATCTTCCTACCCCCTACCCCTGGCGCGCACCCTTTTTTCTCATCCTCACCCTAGCCTGTACCCTTTTCTCACAACCCTTCCCAGGCCCTTTTCCCTCATCCCCCTGACTTGTACTCCTTTCTTCATCTCCCGACCCGCACGTGTTCCTTTATCCCCGCTACCCGCATCCTTTCCCTCACCCCCCTGTCTCTCTTCCCATCTGGTTCCTCACCCTTTCCCTTACCCCTTGTGGGAATTGTCATAAGTTCTGTAATGTCAGCACTTAACTCACAGAACTGATTTTAAAACAAAGAACTGAACACAATCATACGACATCAAGTGTCATCTGACAGTTTCCACACATCACATCAAGTGGCATCTGACAGTTTCCACACATCACATAAAGTGGCATCTGACAGTTTCCACACATCACATAAAGTGTCATCTGACAGTTTCCACACATCACATCAAGTGTCATCTGACAGTTTCCACACATCACATCAAGTGGCATCAGACAGTTTCCACACATCACATCAAGTGGCATCAGACAGTTTCCACACATCACATCAAGTGTCATCAGACAGTTTTCACACATCATATCAAGTATCATCTGACAGTTTCCACACATCACATCAAGTGGCATCAGACAGTTTTCACACATCATATCAAGTATCATCTGACAGTTTCCACACATCACATCAAGTGGCATCAGACAGTTTTCACACATCATATCAAGTATCATCTGACAGTTTCCACACATCACATCAAGTGGCATCTAACAGTTTCCACACATCACATCAAATGTCATCTGACAGTTTCCACACATCACATAAAGTGTCATCTGACAGTTTCCACACATCACATCAAGTGGCATCAGACAGTTTCCACACATCACATCAAGTGTCATCTGACAGTTTCCACACATCACATCAAATGTCATCTAACAGTTTCCACACATCACATCAAGTGGCATCAGACAGTTTCCACACATCACATCAAATTTCATCTGACAGTTTCCACACATCACATCAAGTATCATCTGACAATTTCCACACATCACATCAAGTGGCATGTGAAATTTTCCACACACCGCTTCAGTTGATGGAAAGAATATACAGTAACAATTTATTTCGTTGCTAGGAATTATAAATACAGTGGTTCTGAAACATGGGAAAAACTAAAAGAGTAACTAATAATCTATTGACACTCGTTACCGGGTTGTCTTGTCTGCGAAGAATGGGGGAATTTATAAAATAGAATTACAAATGTGGGGTTTCAAAAGTGAATAAAACAAATTCAAGTGAATCAAGAGGTGAAGAAAACATGCTGGTGCTGACAGGACACATATAATGTCTTTGAACTGGAGCCCACAGAGGCATTTAAATAAAGGCACACAACGGTGAAGGGAATCAGGGAGTGAAGGTTCAAGGATATAGAGGTTATGGGGTAAGCTGCATGCAGTAGCAAAGAATGCAACGTACTAGAACGATTTGGTGTAAGCTGGTTGAAGGCCTGCGCTAAACTAGGAGATCGGCAAAATAAGAACATTCAAATACAAAGATAAATATATGTTTACAATGGTGGTATTTGCATTTAGATTTTTGGATTACTATCATGTGTCATACTGATAAACACTTTTGGTCATGGTTTGGATTTCCATACGATGATCAGAACCACGGATTAGGTCAGTGCTCTTGTCCACTCAGTTGTGAAGTTTAGACAATGAAGTATTTACCTCTGATTCGGTGCTTTATTATTATCCTACCCCCCAAAAAAAAGGGGGAAATCCACAGGTCACGGGACAGTCGAATATTTCAGAGGGTGGTAGGTAGGCTGCATGCAGTCGTGGGACCTAGGCTGAATTCAGTCGTGGGACCTAGGCTGCACTCTCTTGTGGGACGTAGGTGGGTTGGGGTTAGGGTCAGTTCTAGATGTTCTGGGGTCATTAAAAGCATTAGAAAGCCTGGAAACCCAGTCTTACCACTCTTTCAAATGTTGGACAGTCCTGTGACATCATCATCTGGGGGTTGGATATTAATAAAGCATTTCTGGGTCTCCTTGCTCTTATTCCAACAGTCTTGCCAGTTGTCGCCAAGTTCTCTTGTCTGTTTCTTCTCTAAAAAGACTCGAACGTATTGACTATCCGCGTCTATCCTATGGGCACATCACTCTTAAAAAATGTTTATCTATCTTCTGCTGCTGCTGCTGCTGCTACTGCTGCTGCGACTCCTCCTCCTCCATAATACTCCCTAAGTCTGATGTGAATGCGTTGCAGCCCTCCACTGTGCAGACGGCACGGTTTGCATTATTTATATGTTGTTTTCTGTGAGATTGTGGGAAACAGAGATGGCAGCTTAAAGAAATGAAAGACAATATTGGGGCTCGGCAGGGCATTCGCTATATGGTGATAGGCCCTATATTTGTGTTTCCATTCAGGTACTGGATCAATGGCCGCGGCACTGGAGTGGCTAGAAGCTCGCCTGTCAACCCGAAAGTCTTGGGTTCAACTCGTATATAATTTGATTAGTGTTTAAAATTTATTTTCACTCCAGGTAATGCTCTAGGAAGTAAAAGTGGCCGGCATGATGTTAACCACATAATCCACCGACTGCCGATTGGTCTACAAAAATATGGTTATAGAAACGTATGCTCGATATAAAATATAATGGAAAGAGTCTTTTACATTTACTATTCTTGTGAACTGTGCGATATTTGCCACACAAACATGGCCACACTTGCATGTTGCTACAGGGAGGATGCATGCCCTCAAAGTTTTGGTTTTGGTTTCCTTGCTGGTGCTTAACCATCGCCATGTAGCAAGTCCTTTGCAAAACGTCTATCTCGTCACGGTCTGCATGAAAGAAACTCGGTCTCTAGCCAGCTCTCACGCTTTGTGTACTTTCATATTCAAGAAGTACTTATATCTCGTGCCCATCTGTGTTTTGGTCGGCCCCTGCCCCTCCTTCTAGGTACCATACCTTCTGCTAATATTTGTTTCCTTAAATCCACCATGGCGCTTGATATGACCAACATATTTCAGCTTTCGAATCAAGACACAAAGATTTGTAATGCTGTAACATTTTTTGCCTTTGTTTGGCCATCAGTCTTTTGACTCTGGTGTATAGTTTTCGTTGGTGGTTAACATGGAGACTAGATATTCAAAGTAGGGTAAATGTTAGAAGGGCCCAATTCTCAACCCATGTAAAATTAAGTTTGTTCGCTGATTTGCTTCCCAAGACTCCCTAAGTCCAATTTAAAAAAAATTAAAAAAAACTGCCATTTGAAAAGACGAAAAAGTGCAACAACTGCATTCATCGGATGGGTAATAATGTGAAAACGAACTTGAGAAAAAATAGACAAGGTCCAAAACTGAGACTTTATAATTACACTTGAAACAAAGATAAGTACTCGTATAAAAACACTTTCTTTCCCACAATCTCTGTTCCTCATTCTCTCGGTTTCCTCTCCTCTCTGTTTCCTACCATCTCTACCACCACTCTCGCCCCTTCATTTTCACTTATCAATACTGGTTCTTGTTAACGTGATACATTTTGCTTTATTGTTAGGTTGTTCGTATCAGTTTTCACATTTTTCATTTCAACCACTTCGTCATGATGCTCTACCATACAAGGCATATAACAAAAGAGGAGAAGGACGCAGAGTAAGAGGTAGACCAAGAACAGCATGGGAAGATAACATTAGAGAAACTCTACAGCATCATGATGTGTGTATGGTTTAAGCAGCCAGAAGAGCTTAAAGCAGGACCTTATATCTCCCTCGACACCCGAACCACTTCAACCTTCTGTAGAAAACACCATCATTATAATACCTTATGTCTCACATATGTACGCTGCATATTACGAGATTTTCAAGTTTTAAAAAGACATGCTGAGATTTTATGTGACAGATAAACATACAAATACATTCTTTCACAGAACACTCAAACACTAACTTCACTACAACTCACATAACAATGAAATAGAAAGTAAAAATATGTTTCATCAGTGTTTTATTCATAAAAAAAAATATTACTCAGTGTTCAATGCCCAGAAAAAAACAGTGGGTTTACATATTTAGACAAACATTTGGTGAATAAATGTGAACAAACAATGTGCATTCAAATTTAAATAAATACTGTGTAAGTTAACTTGAAAAAAAAATATGTGAGCTATACTGAGCTAAGTTTATAAACAGTTTACTTCAAAAATGTGGAGGTGAACACAATAAGATGACATATTTGATAAAGTCCTGACACAAGTTCAGAGACAACTGTAAGCATCTGATGGAATGTTAAAGAAAAATGAATCAGTATTTACACCAAGTAGTCCATCCACCAATAACAGTTTACCCAATGATGGCGATGATGATGAGGGTAAAAAAATAATATGATAGTGCTGATGATGATATCAACGATGAGGATAAGATGATAATGGGATGATGATGGTGAAGCTTATGTTGACGGTGAAAATGACATGAAGATAATAACAAAGAGACAATGATGAGAATGGTGATAATAAAAACAGGCACCATTAGATCATTGCAAAAACACGCTTTGAGTACATGCCTCATGAGGTGCATTTACATAA